TTTATTCTCTATTTAAGTGTAATTATCATTGGCTATGAAAAAGCACTCTACCAAAATAATTTGTGGAGTAATAGGTAAGGAAAAAAAAAGAAACTTGTAGTTAGTTTTTGAATTAATAAAAGGAAAAGTTTAATATATATGCTTGGAAAATATCTAGCACTGTTAAACAAGATCCATGTGAAATATATCCAACCATCTAAAAATGAAGGCAATTAGCAGCAATTATAGAGCTTCTTTCCCAAAACTATATATTGTAAATCCTTTTAATCAGTGAAAGCACCAATAACATCAAGCCATTGTGTGTCTGAACAGGAAGCCTAGTATGTAAGAACACTTTGCTTTTAATTAACTTTTGGATACCACTTTCTGCAGATTATTATCGGGAGAAGTGCTGCATAGAGGAAACTATGTATTTCAGGTTCCTATTAAAGGATTAATTGTATTTTTAAGTGCAATATGTTAATGAGAAGTAATGGTTGTTTGCTGGAGGTATACTGTACTTAATAGGTTGGTGGATTAAACAGTCCCTGCATTAAAAGGAATTATTGTATTTGTCATAAATACCTTTGAGGATAAATTTGCTTTCAACTGCTGGAGGAATTCTTTGATACAAAACATGAAGGATTACATGAAGGTGACAGGAGAGGTAGTCTGCATCTGTCAGGTGTGCTCCTGATCACAGGCCAAGAAAACTTACCAAGTAACCTGGGGCATATTACATTTAGAAACCGAGCCCTGTTATCAAAAATCAAAGAATCCGATGTAGTTGAATGTTTTGTATTTGGAAAGGGGAAGGGAAGAAGTAATGCATTTGGAATTTACTGTGTTTCTGTGCTAGCTGCACTTTTTCTGCTGGGCTCAGTAACCCCTCAGAGGGCAACTGTGTTTATAACAATATCTGCTACTGTAATGTAAAAATGAAGCTGCAAAAGCTAAGCTCTCAGTTTTTTAACAGAAGCCCCAAGCCATGACCACAAAGGGCAATTTAAGACGGGGGAAAAAAACAAACCACCCAACAAGTGAATAAAAAACAAACAAACAAACAAACAACCCCCCCCAAACTTGAGAAAAAAAAACCCTGAAGGACCTATCCAGAGTGAATACTTTTCATCTGCTGCTTCAAGACTGGGTAGTTTTGTATGAATTATTTTTCATGGGAATTTTGCAAGAATGCTTTCTAACCCCACCCACACTTTCATGTTGGATATGGTTGTTAATTGTGCAAGGGCATGGGTGGGGGAAAATTACTACTGTGATTTTGGAGTAATTTAGTTTCTAGAGACAAGGGCTTCTTTTTTAGCAAGTGTATAATCTTGACTAAGTCTTTTCCTATAAAAGGTGTCAACTTGATTTTCTTTCTGTCAAGTACACTGCAGGTATAGTTTGTTGACATTGCTGTAGACTCAAAGAGTAAGACAGTAGGGTGAAAGGGAGGGCTTAGATTTGATTTGGTTGTACTGGGAGAACTGCACAAGTGGACAACCATATTATGAGGTTGTCCACTGGTACACATACCAATATAATGCCAAGGAGATGGAGAAAGGAATAAACAAGCTTTAAAAGGTCCCATAAGGAGAAAGAAAAACAGCTTTATGTTATAAATTGCAACAGAGGTTGGAATCACAGAGAAGGAAATATAAAAAAGCATAATGCAAGAGAAAAAATGGCTGGATGCTAATAGAAAAATTAAAAAGTGTATTTATGGTTATACAAAACATATGCAAACAGACTTGTGAAAAAATTTGTTTAACTTCAGTTAGAATATCAGCATAGCAGTGCTTGTAGTTCTCAAAATAAATTTTCAATGGTATACTAAACGTTGAAAGTGGATGAGACCCTCAGTCTCTTCAAGTGTTAAAGGATGAAATTAAGGCATGCTACTGGACAGATCATGGATTTAGAGTAAAAGCACTGATCCCATAACCTTCTCCCTGAAAGAAATCTCTCCTCTGCAAACCTGAGACACTTCCTTTCCTGTTTATGATATACTTCAGCCCTTACACTTCATGACAGATGCATTTTTCAGAATAAAAGCTTAAACTTCCTTTAAAGAGTGTTTAGACTTCAAAAACATAAGAAAACTTCAATTGCCTTTGTTTATTTATTTGATGAGGCCTTTCCATGCTGAAAGTGGCTTGTCAAAGAAAAGTCTGTGAGGCCCAAACAAAAATTTTAGTAGCTCTTGATGAATGATGTTCTATTTTTTTCCAAAAATGTTCTAGATCTCTGTCATAAGGAAGATCATGCAAGTACTTTTGACTTGTCAGCTTCTCCTATTATTTTTCCTGTGAAGTTGGAAAAAAAAAAATAATGTGCAAAAATTCTATTTTATTACAATGCTAAGTTAAAAGATCTACAGCTGTTTCTCTTCAAAATATACAAATAAAATGCTACCATTCTTCAAGATGTAATTTATGTGTTATTGTTTCTTGCATGTAAATTACTAGAATTGTGGTTTCATAAGGTTTGATATTACTTAAAGCTTAGTGTTAAGTATATGAAGACCATGAGAACCAAATTCTTAAAAATTCTAATAGAAAAGAAGATAAACAGATAACAAGTCTAATATGCACTAAGTATGAGCAAGATGTCCCTGCCTGTGTCAGGAGGGTGGGACCTAGATGACCTTTAAGGGCCCTTCCAACCCAAAACATCGATCCTATGATTATAACTGAACGCTTTAAAATATGTAGGAGTCAATAGAATGTTTACTCAAAGAGCTCAGAAATAGAACTTGTTTCTAAACAGTTTATTAAGAAATGTACCAGGGTAAGTGTTAAATCTGTTCCTCAGTTTTATTAGTATTTGTCATCTGAGAGAGTTACCAAGGGAAAGAAAGTCCAAGGTAGTCTAAAACAAGGCCAAAGTTATTTATATTGGCAGTCAAAATCAGCCTGCCAGTGCAAGTCAGTTTTTCCGACTCTTAGTCAGAGAGTCAAATAAAAAGAAGTGAGTCTGTAAGATGGTTATTCCTGAAACCAATTAAAGGCAATTCCGACGTTCTTTCAACTTATCCCATTATAACCTTCAGTAAACCACCACCTAATTTTTTTATTATAATTATTTGTGTAAATGCTAGCTCATAGGCAATTAGTGTTCTCTGTAGGAACTCACATACTGTACTGACTTTGTAGAAAAGCATTGCATAAAAGTTAAATGACTTTATGGATAAGGGAATTTTCTACAGGATGGTTTTCTGAATGTATTCAGCAAGCCATAAAGCTCTAACTAGCTAGTTTTGAAAACAGTATGTCTGTCTTAGTGGCCTGGGTGTAGAGCTAGTGGTAAACCTGAAACACTAAAAATTTATTTGCAGTCTTTGAAATTAAATAATTGCTTTGGTCTGTAAAGTTTGGGATGCTTAGTAACAGTTTCAGCATTAAGATATTTTTATCGGTTTCGAATTGCTTGTGTTCACCCTTGTAATCATGATTCCTTCTTTGCCTGAGCTGGATAGATTCACAATTCTAAATTTAAGGACACTTATTTTCCCCTTTGTAGTCACATAATCTGTGGGAGGTTTCTCAGGATTTGTCACAGGTTTTGCGCTATCAGCAGAGAACAATTTCCTTTAGTCCATTGTTTTGGTTTAATTCCAGCTGGCAACCAAACCTTCCACAGTCACATTCTCATTTCTTGCTTGTGCCACGGGGAATAGAATCAGAAGGGTAAAAGTTAGAAATTTTGTGCATTGAGATAAAGACAATATAACAGAGAAAGCAAAAGCCATGCACGCGAGCAAAGCAAGACAAGGCAGTCATTCACTCCCCTTGGGCAGGCAGGCGTTCAGCCTTCTCACAGAGAGCAGGGCTCCAACACAACATAGCTCCAAGGCTTGAGAAGACAAATACCATCATCCTGAATGTTCCCCCTGACTTCTTCTTCCTCCAGATTTATATTCTGCACGTGATGCCATGTGATATGGAATGTCCCTTGGGTTAGCTGGGGTCAGCTGTCCCTGTTTTGTTCCCTCTCACCTTCCTGTGCATCCCCAGCCTCCTCCCTGATGGGCTGGGTGAGAAGAAAAAAAGGTCTTTACTCTGGGTCAGACCTGCTCAACGGTAACAAAAACATCCCTGAGTTATCAATACAATTTCTAGCACAAAACCAGCACACCCATTTATATGTTCACATCTCTTCTTCATTAAATGTCACATTGATGATTGTTCAGGCAACAGAGATGTTTGTCTCCATTCCCCCATCCAGAATCTTCTAATGTGTGGTTTATGGACATTTTTCTGCTTACCAATTTGCCTCTATGAAAATCGGAAGTCCATATTTTTCTTTCTGGAGACTGATCAAAAGACCCTTGAATTCTCTTTTGGAGTTATTTTTAAGGACTAGCCTCAACCTTGACACCTTCTTCTCTTGGAATAACAGTAGGTTTTGTGTTTAAAATTTAAGTTCCTTTTAAACTCTTTGATTAATTCCACTTGTCCTAGTAATATATAAATATTCATATAAACAGTTTGCTCCAAAACTTCTTTCAGCAGCTCTTCATTCTGGGATTTCTCCAGTTCAGCTTTTGGGGAAAAAAACCCAAACAACATGGATATAGTAATATCTCTGAGCTCCATCTTTTAATGTCAATGCAGGTAACTGACAACTTTTGTGGTGGTGTCTTACTATCCTAAAGTAAGTAAGAGCTCAGTCCAGGTAGTTCTTTGTCCCTTCAACAGGCCTGAAGGACAGTAAAGTTGACTTGATATTGATATAAGCATAATACTTTGAATTCTTCTCTGATTCCTGACCAGTGGAAAAAAAATTCCCCATTAATTCCTCCTTGTCAATACACAGAGAATCATCTGTTCTCTTGGTTATCTTAGAACTGTAGGGAATAGCATGGATCAGGTTCAGACTCTAGCATGCAGCCTGCATCCAGTTTGAAATGTAAATATTTAGAATTGTGAAATTAATTTCACCTCAATGGAGCTGTCTGTGGACAAGCACTTGAAATGAAAATAACAGTTAGGATTTACAGTTAAACTGTTGCTCTTCAATCTGAAGACCACACAGATTACACAATACACTGGTCTAAACTTGGAGTCTGGCTCTGGCTCTGGGGCAGGGAGGAGGTTGTGTAGCCCTGATTATGAATCCTCAGGTGTGGTAATCTGGTAGACTGAAAGATTATACAGATTCTGTACAGATTCTGCCACTCAAAGTGAATGTGGTTTCTTGTTTCAGGGTTACCTGTGTTCCAAGAATGCCAAGGTGGAGGTGCTCAACAACTTTTTTCACAGCTGTTCTTCAAGTGAAGCATCTTATTCTGAGTTTAAGTATTTTCTTCTGAGTTAAACTAAATCAGCCACTAAATAAATGCCACAGTTCCAATTGATCAGTGAGGCAGAGAACACTACCTAGAGAAGATCTCAAGGAAAAAATGCACATATGGAAAAATTCTTTAAATCTTTCATCCTCTTTGCAAGTAATGGTAAAGGATAAAATCCAAACAGCTAATAATTTGTCTGTTGCAAAACACTGCTGTAAATGCTGAGACTACTGACAAAAAGTGAACATATCTACATGCAATTTTATGCTAATCTTATGTTTATATATCTTATGTGTGACATGTGTAAACACTAGTACCAGTGTAACAAGGTTATTAAAGAGGACCTTAAAATATGTTCCCCTCCCCTCAGTGGAGAACTTCATATTGAGGCCACTATTGTTCCAATTATTAGAACCAAAATTATCTTGTACCAAAAAGCAGAGGAACAAAGTTTGTGATGCTGGTACATAATTTTAAAAAGGAGCTAGCAAGACTTCAAAAAGTTCTAACAGCCAGCTACAGAAGAAAGGACAGTCCACAGTAGGACACAGAGATTTTTTTTTTCTGAGGTCTCAAACCCTTTTACCTATGCTGCTTCATTACATCTCCCTAATATGTATGTAGTCATTGACAGCATTTTAAAACTGTGCCTCTTTAACAGCAGCTATCTAGTGTTTTGGTTTACCTACTTTTAAAGTGCACTTTTCATCATATTTACAGCATTTAATTGAAACTACAGTCTTTTACCAGTCAGAGAGTGTAGTGTCAGCCTCAGGCTGAGCTTTTCTAGACTGAAGAGTTCTTTTGCTTGTCCACACTGATAATTGGGTGGGACATAGAGGACATACAGATGCATCCTCTAGAAATGGGTGGCACACCAAATTCTCTCTGTCAGAGACACTTGGTTGACCAACAACCTCACAGGTTAGTGTACAAGACTGTTCACAAGGTTGCCTAGTGCAATTGCTGTGTGCCATCAACTAAGTAGATGTTATTTTATAATGTGCAAAGCCACTTTTCTGTCAAGGAGCTGGGAACTCATCACAATGCTGGCACTTATCTAATGCACACTGAACTATTCACACCGAAGTGATGGCTGCACCCATCAGACATGGTTGGGAAGAAGAATGGGTAACTACTTAAACAACACTTAGATGTTGAAATAGCCCGTGAAAAGGTGAAGCAGGAATATTCAAAACTGTGAATAAAAAAGCAGAAGATGATGAAGTATGGTCATGTTGTGTCTACAAAAAAGTGATTTTTGTGTTTAAGCCAATACAGCCATCTGCATACCCACCATACCTGGTCCATCACAGATACTAACTAGACCCCATTTTATCCATAGCTTTTTTCACCCACAATTGCATTTCACCAATGAAAGAGGGATAGGGGCTTAAACTAACAAACAAGCAAACAAACAAACCAACCTAACACTTGCTAGTCTATTTTCAAAATAAACTCTCAATAATTAGTCTGGAAGGGATGATTTCCCTCTAATACCTACCTGCAATTTGGTAAAAAGTTATGAATAATTAAGATTACACTGAAATTTTTTACTTCGAGACAAATTATATTTTGGGTGAGATAAAACTTATATATTGCTTCCTATCTTTATGTTCCCGTGAGAAAAATGAGAGAAAATCATTTTAGGTTGGTCCAAAATTGATTTTTTCCACAATTTTTCAGGTCAGCTAATGAAGTGAAAAATCAATTCTTCACACAGCTTTAACTCAAGCCCTTCTTGAATATAGAATTATTACTTTCCTCATGAGCATTTTCCATGGCATTCCTCACCACATAAATTAATTTATCTTAATTTGGCATAGATTAATTAATTTATCTTCACAATACTTTTGCAAAGAACTGGGACTGCTATTTTGATTTCACACAAGAGAAGTTGAGGTACAGTTACATTAGAGAGCAAAAATTGCTCTTTTGGATGCTCCCCACAACTGCAATCTAATTTAGCAGAGTAGTTAGCTGTTGCATAAAATCCAGAGCTCAGAGCACAGGCTATCTAAATGGTCAAAGCACATTTCTCACAGACATTAGCTTTCTCTATGCCTCCATAGCTCTTTTGTGAACTGAATTTCAGGGTTTGATACTGGACATCAGAGACTGGAATCCAGTTAGTTGTTTGCTATGAGAAATTTACTTTAAAGGGCCATCACACAGGAATTAGTCCAGAAACACAACAGAGTTATAAATACTTAAGAAGGATAATGATAAAATAAAAGACTAGATATCCCTCATAACAATAAAATACTCACAGTGTTGGTTTCTGCTGTGCTCTGATAGAAGTGGTGATACAATACTCGACTGCAACGCTGCTACAAGCCATCAAGAGCTGCTGCCAGAAAGAAAAGACAACACAGCAAGGGATATAGGATAAGATCACGCATCTTTAAATCATGTATATAACAGTGGTGATGATGATGATGATGATGATAAAGAATTGAAGATGTATCTGCACCCAGATACAACCAGGACATTCCACTGACAGGAACTGCAGGTTTGATGACACACCAAAATTTGTCTATATTGTTCATTCCTGTTCACATTTTTTAAACAGTTCCTCAGCATTGTGCTTGAGATCCAAGGCAACAACTCACTTTAAAAACTGTGGGAAAAAAACGCCTGCGTTTTAGTGAGACACCATAAAGTGAAACTTCGTGATTTGTCTGTCTCAAGATCTTCCTTCAGACTCATTACTGCAAAAGCAAAGTGATTTTCATTCTGAGATGTGATTAAATTCACATTCATGGTCTGATTGAGGTGTAGAATCTTTTATTGGGAAAAAATATAGACTTCAGAGTTGGCAGTGGAGTGCTACAGTACTACTCTCTGTGAGACCATTAAATTTAATCCTTCCTTCAGACTCACTCCAATGGTGATTTCAATTAAATTTGTTCAAAATTTATCAGTTTCCTGCATGCATGCATAAATGATTCAAAGGCACTTACATATTCACTGAACAAAATGTATTGAAGGGTACATATTATTATAACTTTTCACTGTTCTTTTTTTCATAAAATTTACCTCAAAGCAGCTTCTATTACACAAAATTCTAGCCCTCTGCATTAAATGCTCTTACTGTTCATTTGAAAATCAAGTTTATTTTTCAATGCAAATCTGAAGTATTCCTTAGCCAACAAAACTGCCCTTTTCCTTGGCATGATAGTACAGCTGTTTCCTAGAGGGAAAATGATTACATTTATTTTGCTAATGACTTGAAAGGCTGTTTTCTGTCCACTGCTATGAAATATGACATTGTTGATTCTGACATAGTTTTCAGAAGACATGATGGAGTTTGTGCATGCAATTCAACATGTTCAACAATTCAGTATTTGCTTTATTTTCCCAGTTAACATTATGGGAGGTACACTTTTGCATTTAAAAAATACATCAGTGGCAAGAAGACTAACAATTAAAGCTGTACAAAAATCTCAGATATAATGTTAGGTAAGAGAGAAAGCACTTAGTTCACAATAAATGAGTTTCCTCTTATCTGTCCACAAGAACCTATTAGACATCTTTGTGCCCTGAAGATTTTACCTGCAGGAACCCATCGGGTAGGGCCTTTGTTTCTAAATGTGTAGCTGTACCTGAAAGTAATGCTTGTGTGCTTACCTATGTGCCTGCTTGGAGATGACAGCTTCATGCATTTCATATTTACAAAACTTTTAAAGCCCATGCTAGATCTACCTGTGGCTTTGTAGCTTCTCACATCTGCCCAGTGGTAAAAGGAGAAAGGAAATGAAGTAGTCATTGTGTGTCTGAGTAAAAGACCCCTGCAGACTATGTAAGTCAACATACAACAAGTTTGAGTAGGAAGGGAAAAACACCAGCAAGCAGATAGAAAATGCATCTTTTTTCCAAAATATCTTTGTGCACGTTTGGATGTAGCCAAAGGCTAATTTTTAGCAAGCTATAAGGATTAAGCATTGCATTTTACCCATGACCTACTGGATTCTGCTGTTTCCTCCTAAATAGCCCTGACTCCATGGCTAACCAACCCATTTCAAAAAGACTGCTTACTAAATAAACTATCATTCTGACTGAGTAGGAGTGGCAGACAAGACTAACACAGCAAGCATTTTGTTTTAATTGCCTGCTATAATTCAAACATTTTATGCTTTTGTTCTGATTTCTTTTCATGATTATAAACTCTGGGAGAACACAGAGCCTTTCTTAAGTCATGCTTTATAGCTTTCTTTCAAATGAACTTAACCTGCATTTTAAAGATGACATCAGATGTCATCTTCTGCTTCATCAGAAATGTATGAGCCATAAACCACTATGCATAATCTGACTAGCTAAGGCTGACTTCATGGGTACACCTTCTCTACTCCCTCCACCAGGGAGCAGGGCAGGATAGTGGCTTCAGAGACTTAGGTGGTTCCTCTCTAATGCTGCCAGGACATTCACAGAAAATTAGTGTGCATTCATCTATCAAGATACCCTGAAAGTCACAGTTGCTCAAAAAAAACCTGAAAAAGCAGCGTTGATAGGAGCCATAAAATTCAAGGTAGAATATATCAAAGTTAAGATGTAAAAATTGCCACTGTGCTCTGTTGTCTAGAAACTAGGTCTTCTAAACTCACTAAATTCAATGCATAATTTTACTTATTTCATGCTGTAATTCTTGCAGAAGACTAATGATGTTAGTACTCTGGCTTTTAGTCTGTAGCAGATACAGTTACAGTTGTTTATTTTCATTAGTTTGGTCTTGGCTGGCATTATAGAAAAAACACAGCTATACATAATTTGTTTGTACAGTGACTAGCACCAGGGAGTATTGGTCCATGACTTGAGCTTCTAAGAATTACAGTAATGAAGATGATTCCCGAAGGAAGGTATGCTTGGCAACTTTCAGATATAAGACAATAAATTTTTCTACCTTCTTTGGAGATAGAAACCATAGGGAAAATGGGTGGTGCAACTGTTGCACATTTTTTATATATAGCTGAGAAGTTTCCTGGAGTAAGTCCAGAGAAATTATTCATGGCCCAATCATTACTTATATAAAATAAGCTAGTGGATTGAATAATTACATGGTTTTTGGT